CCGGGGATATCAAACAACAGCCAAACACTTGAGAGAGAGAGAAAGAAAAGAGAAAAACTCGATTAATGCATAAGGAAACGGTGATATAAACCTTAATTAAATAGCATATGTAATAAGTTGTTTACAAACAAATCCTAGCTAAGTGCACGAGGTCAGGAAGTATAGTTCACGGAATGCCACGAACACAAAAATGTTATGGAAATCGAATACAATTGGCTTAGGCGATGTGTGCAAGTTAATGGAATAGAGTACAGGGAGATATTTATATGAGAAAGAGAAGCATTAAGGTAAAAACTGTAAACCCACCACCTGAAATAAAGAGACTTAGCATGCAAGCACGCGGTTAGTAAATCGAATTCAGCGTGCCTACAAACGCTGCGCCGGTGCTGCCTACGTTCACTGCGGGACCCGTCGTCGCTTCGGCAGTGGTCCCGAGTGACCTCTCTCATGGCTCACTAGGCCTGCCTGACTAAGGCACTCGCGACCGCATGTTCTACAGCACCATGCGCTCGATGTCGATGGAGTACAATTCATCGGTGCTTGCCGCTTCCGCACTTGCCGCTTCTTCTCTGCATGCATGAGGGCTTTCTCCCGCACTTCAGCAACTGCCTTCGTGATTAGATCGCGCCATGCACCACGATCAACCGCCTTCGATTCCCATGATCTGCAATCAAAATTAGAACGTGTGAGGCTCACTTTAATCATGTCCTGGTAACGTAACTTTGGTTTCCCCACGTGCCGCTTCCCTATACTCAGCTGACCGTATAAAAGTTGTTTCGGTATTCGCGTCGAATCCATACGGCTCACATGACCGAGCCATCTCAGGTGTCGCAGTAAAAGTATGCCGTCCACTGCATACATCCCACTTCGGCGCAACACCTCCCTGTCTGCAACTCTGGCGCCCCAACCGATCCGCAAAATTCGTCGCAGACACTGCTGATGGAACCGCTCGAGATATCGCACATCCCGCCGGTACATCGTCCACGTTTCACTGCCGTATAGAAGAACGGACAGTACCATGGATTTGTACACCATCAGCTTCGTGCCAATGGTAAGCGGATGGTTGTTCCACACTCGGTACTCAAGCTTCCCGAATGCCGCTGCCGCCCTTGACACGCGATTACGCAACTCAACGTGTAGCTGCTGATCAGTGGATATCACACTCCCAAGGTAGCAGAAGCGGGAGGTGGTCTCCAGTACTTCAGCACCAATGCTGATTTGCGGCACTATTGAAGATTGCACCTCCAGTGAAGGCTGAAAGAGACAGCCAGTTTAGCTTGTGTTGATGGTGAGCCCGAATTTTGCCGCTGTCGAAGCCAGAGCACTAGTCATGTGCTGCAACTCATCCGCGCTGTGTGAAAACAACGCACAGTCGTCAGCAAACAGCAACATACGGATAGTTGTCTCACAGACTAGAGTTCTCGCACCGAAACGACGGATGTTCAGCAACCCACCATCAATACGGTGCTCCACACGAACACCGTAAACACAAGCCGCATCAAAAGCACAAGACAACATTGCATGAAGATAGATATTAAACAGGGCAGGAGCTAAGACACAGCCTTGCTTCACACCAGAGACAACTGTAAAGTCATCAGAGGTCTCTCCACCCAGCTGCACCCTCGCTCGCATACCACTGTGCAGATATTCAATTAAACTTACAAATTTACGCGGGCAACCAAACTTACCCAACCCCAGCCACAGTGCCTCGCGGTTCACCGTATCAAATGCCTTGGTGAAGTCAACAAAAAGCGAGTACAATGGCTGGTGTCGTTCTCTGCACTTCTCTTGCAACTGACGAGCCGCAAACACCATATCTATAGTGCTGCGACCCGAACGGAATCCACATTGCTCTTCCGCCACGTTTGGTTCCACAATCTGACTCACGAGGCGATTGAGCAGGATTCGGGCAATCACCTTGCCCACACAACTCAGCAAGTTGTTGCCACGATAATTCGTGCAACATTGCTTGCTACCTTTGCCCTTGTGCAGTGGTAGCACAAGGGCATCCTTCAGCTCAGGAGGCACCTCCTCCTCAATCCATACACGTTGCACCAAGTGGTACAGCGCAGTCAACAACGCAGGTCCACCGTGTTTCAATACTTCAGGTGGGATCCCGTCACCTCCGGCACATTTGCCGTTTCGCAGCTGAGCAAGTGCTCTCTGAGTCTCATCCAGTCTCGGCGTATCCGCCAGATCCGCCTTCACATCGTGCTGCTTCAGGCCATTCAATGTAGGCAAGTCCATCTCTGAACGGTTGTTCAAGAGACAGTCAAAGTGTTTTCGCCAGACCTGCATTATGTCTGCAGTCTGGGTGCAGGTAGCGCCTGAACTACCATCGATCAGTGTCCTCAGCGGCTCCAATCTCGGTCCATACACCGCCTTCAAGGAGTCAAAGAATTCCTTGTGTTGACGGCGTTCGGCGTAGCATTCCATCTGCTTCGCCTTCACCGTCCAAAATGCTTTTTTAATGCGACGGAGCTCTCGGGTCAGTCGCCGTCGAAGTTTGCGAAACTGACTCTTCTTCCCCAAGTCACTGGGGTCTGCAACATGTGCAGCATTTGCTGCATTCTTCTCTGACACCAATGCGTCAATCGTCACATTGTTGTCATCAAACCAATCAGGCCACTTACAGTTTGCGCGCCCGATGGTCTCCTCGGCAGCAGCTGTCACCTGGTCGCGAATGTGGTGCCACAGGTCGCCCATTGTGGCTATACAGTCCACATCACCACACAGGCGTGAAGCCATCGCCTTCTCCAGCTCAGTATGTTTCGCCACAGTACCGAGGGAGCGAATGTTAAATTTACGCCGATTCACGGCGGGAGTGCAATACATAGATTTACGAAAATATATGTACAGTTTGGTCCGAACCAATTTGTGATCAGTGCCACACTCAGCTCCACGCAGTACACGTGTTATGCGCACTTCACGCATATCACGCTGACGTACGATGACATAGTCGAGCAGGTGAGCGTGACGATTCCGTGGATGCGTCCAAGTTGCTATATCACTCCCGCTCAGTGCAAACCGTGTGTTCGTGATCGTCAGGCCGTGAGTGGCACACAGTGAGAGCAGCCAGCCACCGTTCGCATTCGCTGAACCAATGCCATGCGATCGATAACATTTGTCCACACCAATGCATCACGCCCAACACACTCGTTGAAATCTCTTAGCAGAAATAGTCGGTCGCTCCTCTACACAGACCGTATCACGGAGGATAACCTAGTGTATAATTGGTCACGCGTGTCATCAGGATAACACATGGTCGGACCGTATGTGCTTATGAAAGTAGCAAACTTACCTCTTCCGAGTCGTAGGCGAACAGTCATCAGTCGCGCGCTGATGCCCGTTGGTTCACCCACCAGCTGGCCATTCAGGCGATCGGATATTGCAAGTCCGACCCCATGTTCACGTGGTGCTGAGGCGGCGTTCCCCACCCAATAGAATGTGTAGCCAGCACCTGCTTCATGTAACTTACCTTGCTCAGCGAGCCGAGTTTCACTGAGCGTCGCACTATCGATGTTGTAGCGCGCCAGCTCCATTGCGACCAGTGCAGTGCGTCGCTCCGGGCGCTCGCTCGAGTTCCGGTCCAGTAGTGTGCGCACGTTCCAGCACCCGATGCTGAGTGCTTTGCGCGCAGGCATACGATTGCATTGGTGGGCAATCGCACGCGAGGTGGTCGTTGTGCTTCGGAGGTTTGCTTGAGGGACTCCACCCGGAGATATATATATATATGTATATGTATATGTATATATATATATATATATATATATATATATATATGGCGCTTTCCCACCGCACTTGGAGTACACTAACGTACACATAAATTTGGACTTTTAGGCTGGATTAATTTCATTCCACTTTATTTGGTTTGTTCTGCCCACCTGAATAATTCTTTTAAATTGTACACCTTGCTTTTGCTAATTATGGTTAGATTCCTTAGCTTCATTGCCTTTGTACCATCTTAAAGTAACTATTGGACACATTGTACTTATCGCGGATTCATTGCTAACCAACTTCATATGCTAATTTACCGAAGAGTTATCTGCATAGCAGTATGCTTTAACAAATATATTTTATTTGATAATGTCATTTCAAGTGATTGGCTGTTGCTTGATATCCTCGGTGTAGCTGTGCATGTTGACAAGGTGCCTACCTGTCTATTCCCGACTACGCCGATACTGGCTCCAGGGACAGTTGGTCGTTGCTGGAGTAGACGGGGTGCACGGTCTTTGTGGCCGTGCTAGGCTCTAAGAGTGGTTCCATGCACTCAGTGTGGAGCGGACTACTGTTCAGACACTATCTTGTGTACGCTTGATTCCCCAAATACAGTGTGCTTGTGTTTGCCTATGAAAGAGTATAGGCCGGCATTGTTGATGAAACGTGGCTCTCATCCGTATACCTCCCGGTCCTTTTCCTTCGGATGTACACTGGATATGGGTGTGTGGATGAAGCTGTGGGTGGTGCAGCGCAAGCCAACCATGGTCCCTCTGTAGTCGCGTCCTGTGGCTGACCATAGTGACAGGCAAATCCGAAAACGGATGCTGCCAACCAGATAGTAATATTCTTGTAGTTCCGGTACCCCAGATTCTTCTATATAGCAAAACTCGAAGTGATGGGCAGAACAAATAGCACTAATCAGCCGGCGTTAAATCAGTCATACCAATCGCAGAGAGATTACAGGTGTAAGCCTACGCGTACCGTTCAAAAGCTAATCGATCGGATTCGCCGATGTAGTTTGATTAATCCGATGGCTGAAAACAAACACGTGCCAAGGTCACGCCGGGCTGGACGACTGAGAAAGTTCTAACAAAAAGTCCTGCGTTGCATTGTTACCCTCGAACTGACGGTCATTCGCGCCTGTGACGTCCTTATGTGGTTTCAGCCTGTTGTGATTTACAGCCATCCAAGAAGTAGGCGCGCCAGACTTCATGGTTCGGTAATTCAGATTCGATGATACTCCCTGCACGACGAACGACCCTCGCAATTTCGATGGAAATTTCGCAGGAACGCCCGATAATGTTACCGCTGATTTAAGCCCGACAGCATTACCAAGTTTGAACGGTCTTCCGAAAGCCTTTCGGTCAAAACTAGCTTTCTGCTGTCGCTGTGATGTCCGCAAATGCGCATGTGCCCACTGGTGGGCACGGAACAGACTCGACTGTAACCGATTAAAGGTTCATGATGTGACCTTGGCAGTGGGGTATCTGACGGTAGGCGCAGCTCATGTGCAGTCATCATAAGATGTGGTGTTTGACCGGTCGATGAGTGGACAAATGCTCGATAAGCCAGTAAACATTTAGGTAGGGCTGTGTCCCATTCGTGAGGCATTTCACTATTCCGAAACGACTGTAGTAACACCTTCAGTGGTGCGCTCAACTAGCCCGTTTCCTTCCGGATGATACGCATTAGTCCTTGTCTTCCGGATGCGGAAATCTGACACAGCTCGCTCATGAGCATGTTCTCAAAGTCTGTTCCGTGGTCTGAGTGTAACTGTTAGGTAGCTTCCCACCTTGCAACCCAATTGCTGAAGAAGGCTAGTGCTACACTCGCTGCGTCTGCATTTTGAAGGGGTACTACTTCACACCATTTGGTAAAGTGGTTCACAATAACCAGGACGTAACGATGGCCTCCTCGGTCTGATAGGCCGTGTTTACTAAACCACATTAAAAGTCGTTCTGCTCTATAACAATAATACTTGCCTCCTTCTATGTGAAGATCTGAGGCTTCCTCAAGTCTTTGATCATCGCTGCCTGCGAACCATTACTGGCATCGGGTGGAACCGACTTGTCCGCAAATATGATATGCCTAGGCAGGTACTAGGCATTGATAATGAGGCTAGTTTCTTAGAACAACAGATAGCAGCACATAAGTTGCTTTGGCTGGTATACGTACTACGTATGAGCGGTCATCACATACCAACAAAGCCTTGTTATATTTGCCATGTTAAAATGGAAGTGCCGGTGAATACCTACTGCGATTCATTAAGTATATCGCTGTGTTTTTCCAGTCAAGTAGTTTGTTGGTCGTCGATGAATGTTGGTGTCTATTCGTTTTCCTCCCTGTATCCACGAGAAAAAAACATTTTGATAGTTTGTGGCGTGAAGAACGTGGATCTGCAATCCTTTTTCACACGCGGTCTGCCTGTCATCTCTTACTGGTGGTCTTTACGTCCACTGAACTCTGTCGTCTCATGTTAGATTGTCGCGTCTGGCCTTTCTTATCCCTTCCCTTCGAATCGTGCTTTGGATGCTCATTTTTATTGGCTGCTTTTGATTTAAAGTTGATTCACCCTGCCTGTTCTGCACCAAAAGTCGGTCCTTCAGCAAAAGGAACACGGAAAGTTACAGCATGTGTGACCAGCGGAATCGTTCTGTGTACATTGTTCGCACGCCTCCATAAGCGACGACGTTTTTGCTTCTAGTCTCATCCTTTGTAGCAACGGTGATTTCTCCACAGCACACACGAATTCCGGCTAATCAGTAGAGCCACTTGCATCGGATCAACGAATCCGTCAGTTTCATATCCCATTTGCGATGTGACTGGTTTCTGGTGTTCATTTGCTCTCACGTCCTCATGTATGCTCCGACCTTCACTGTTGATTGGGCTCGATTGACTTTTTACCTCACCCCGTTTTGTAACAACGTTGACAAGCACAAGTTCCTCATCCGACTTTTATATCGTATTGTTGTGTTTGTATTGTTCCATTATATATTGCATTTCCCGCACTTAGATTTTAGCTACTCGGTGTATTGATTGTAGTTGTGAGTCTTCCTTTTGTTTGTGTCTTTTCATTGGTTAGGCAACTGGGTCTCAGGTATCTTCGGAGCCGGATTCTTGTTCGTTGGCGCAACCCACATCTTCAGTATCCGACGCCCATGTAACAGGGGAGTCAGTGGACGTTGCGGATTCCACAACCGGTGCATTGAAGAGGGCAGCTAAGAACGGTTCGGCTGCAGCTCATGCTACTGTGGCAGATGCTGGGCCTGACGAATCCGAAATGACTGAGATGGTGAGCTAGAGGATTGTAATTTTCCGACCCAGATTTGCCGGTTTCTCGGTTACATTTGACGCTCTGTACCAACTGTTGACGCATTCGAGAACTCTGTTTCGTTTGGTTTCGCTGAATGTGCTTATTACCTCCTTAGGGTGTGTGTAAGCGCGAGCGTGTAAGTCATAATGATGATTCAATGAAGGTTGATTAGAGTTCGTTTAAAGTTAAGAAACCACCGAGGGTGTCTGGCCGGCTGGTGCGGGTAGAGAATTGATTGCATCAGTGGATCCTTTGGACGAAGTCTGCTTGTTTCGTAACTCAACTGTTTGAGCAGACTGCTCGCACGTCTGTGTTCTGTGGCCGTTTCTTGCGGCGGGGGGTGGTGGTGGGTTGAACCGACTGACTGAGTGGGGTTGGAACCCACATGTTGTGTGCATGGTTTCAGTTGTCATTCGATATGGTGGTGTCGACTGTTCTTTACAGCCCTGTGTTCTTTGTCAGTTGACACTGCATCCTTACTTTAGCCATTTAGATATTGCTTTTGTTTATTTAAGCAATTCTACGCTTTCACTGTATTATATTGTCACAGCCTACCCTGGATAACCGGCAGTCTACGCCGGATGTTGTCCGCAAATCGACGGAATCAAACATGTGTGTTGCTTCCGAAGGGACCGAATCATGGACAACCGCTCCGGTGACGGAGACTGGGATAGTTGCGGTTAGTACGCTAATGTTGCTTTTCTGTTGCTGCTTGCTTGGACGTACGCACTTTGTAGAACACCGCTTGTGATTCCTCCACTTTGGATGCGGGAGTTTATGATATCGTTTTTGCATCTCTTGTGTGACTGAGGTCGTATGGCACGTTCGTCAAATGGCATTAGTGAAAACGCGTATTTCTTTGCATTTTGGTACGGTACATTCAATCTTCAGTGTGTTTATGTGTGTCGGAGTTTCTAACGCTTCCTCATGTAGTCGTGAATCCGTCTAGTGTTGGCTTCCTAAAGTGGGTAGGCCAACAGGCTGAACTGATAGCGACACGTTGGTGCAATCGTGTGTTGTGCCTCCAAAACCGGAATTCATGACTCTCATATAGTTGCTGAATTCGTGTGTTATGCCCGTTAAGGCATCAAAAGAGGACTTGCGAAACATTCTCTTTCTAGTAACATTAACATTCGTGCGAATGGCTGTGCAAACACAAAAGGCTGCCTGAAGCTGGGGAGGTGATTGGTTGGATCACAGTTTACAGAATGGACGGTGGAGTTAATCGATAGGTGAGTCAATCCAATCGGGGGATGAACGTCGCGCGCGTGCACACGCACTAAACCACTCATATGACCCGCATGGTAGTTCATCAGTTAATTTACATTGACAGGTACGTCAGCAATGATGGACACATAGGCGCCGATGTCAGTTCACGTTTTGCGATCGCTAGAACTGCTTACTGATATCTGCGACATTTGTGGTATTAGCGAGTGGTTTGCGTCGGTCTGATAGGCCATTGGATCTGAATATCTGAGGTGTCTACAACTCTTTGGTCATCGTTGTCTGTGAGGCATTGCTGGTGTCAGGTGGCACCAGGGTGTCCACAACGATTGTCTGCGTAGGATAGTGCGTAGGCAGTGATAATGAGGCTGGTTCCTTTGAACAGCAGATTGCCGTGAATGAGTTGTGTTGCCTCGGGCACATGCTACGTGTGCTCGAGCACAGCTTACCTGCGATGGCCTTGTTTCGTCTAGCAGATGTAGGGTGGTGCAATGCTCGAGGTGGATAGAAGTTTACTTGGTGGAGAGAAATGAAGTCACTGACAACAAAACGTGGTGCTGTTGGTCCGTGCCGTCTCCCAGGTTGGAGTCCACGTGACCCGTTTTATGCTTGTTTCGAGATGTTGCAGGACATGGCTTGCAGTCGGCATCAGTGTCGCGTATGCTGTCGTCTTGCAGCCGGACTGCCTGTTTAAGCTGTGTTTGGCGCTAAGTTGTCTGCGGGGTAATGGTGGATTTTGACGTGGGGCAGTGGACGCTGCAGTGAAACTGTCTCCTCTATGTCGTCTTAACTTTGCTCGGTAGCCAGTTGTATGGGACGGTACATTGTTGACAAGGTGTAAACGCCTTGACGGTGAATCTTTGCTTAGTGATCTGTAAGCTTTTGTGCCCTATCCCTCTACTCTTCCTGTCATTATCGTTATTTAGGTCACTGGTTTTACGAAACCGGAGCACAGGTTCAGGTGGCAGATATAATGCTGTTGATGCTAATGGTGACGTCTAATCTTTGGCTCTATACGCTCTGCTGCCTTTATTATTCGATCTGCATAGTGTACGGTCGCTTGTATGCCGTTGTCCCGTTTTGTCCTCCCTCGAGTTGTTTCTCGGTCTGTCACAGGTCTCCGGCTTGATTCTCATCTACTTAGGCCATTGTATGCTCCTTGTATACAATTAGTCACGAAAGACCTGTTTAAACTCTGTTGGTTTTAACCGTTAATTATCCACTTGAGTCAATTGAACCGAAAAATTCCGCTTCAATAGAGATCTGGTTGCGATAAATAGTCGTATTTCGATTTGGGAAACAATTCATACTTCCATCGGCCTAGCTATGAAGGTGTAGCCTCTATTTTACCCCCCTCTTGATTGCTCTATCGATTGCCTTTCTCGTTCTGTACTTATCCTGCGAGTGCTAGTGACACCGGTTGGTTGTGTTTTACTATGCTGCTGGTTCCTGTATGATGCAGCCTATTTCGTTTTTAATATTTTCAAATTGCTCGAAAGCTCTCATTTTATTCATTGTTAAGTGTCACTTCAAGTACCGGTCACTCGGCTGTTATTAATAATTCTAATCTGTCCGGTGCTCTGGGCTTCTCATCTGTTCCAGATCCTTCCGTCAACCTCGCCTGTGGACTCCGACTGTCCTTCGGATTCGATCACCACCTATTTGAATGGACACAAGGCACCCAATACTCCAGTTGGTCGAAAGACAAGGCGCCACACTCCTTCCCATATGACGCACGATGGTTTCGACCCTTCCGATTCTTCGGTGCAAGCTTCCTTGTCTGTCGTTGACCATACCACGGGGTCAATGAAGGTTGCTACTGAGGGATCCGCTACTAAGCGTTCCCCGCAATCAAGGTCCAACGTGGCAATTGAGAAACCGTCTGTGGACCAATGTCCATCTTCTGAGGTAGGAATGTGTACATTTTCTGGATCTTACACTGGGACGCGTCTGCCACTAGTGTGTTTAGTGTTTTGATTTGTTATTTGTGGTCATATCGCTGATGTGGTTCGGAAACTTACAGGTTACGTTATGGAGTATAGTAACCGGTGGTTTCCAGGCATCTGAACTGATAACTTCCCCATGGGTTGTGTATTTGTTCCGCGATATCGATTCGCGAATCTATTTTGTTGTTGATTACTGATGCAATTGCGTTACTTGTCTGCATATAGTGTTGATTTAATCGCTGAATATTGGTATGTGTGTAGTTGCCTGACACTCCATGTGCTAGTCCATTATTGTGGCTTCGACCTTTGAGCTCACAGACTTTAGTGGTAGCTTAGGGGCTATTTGAAGTCGTAAACTATCTTGCTCTTTTAAGTTTAACTAGGCTTCTTTACTGCGACCACCCTCTCATTGACGACCGCTCCACTGACGCAGACTGGGATAGTGTCGGTTGGTTCGCTAATATTGATTAGTCCTGGGTTTGCTTTTCTCCTGCTATACTTGGACGTGCACACTTTATAAAACACCGCTTGTGATTCCTCCACTTTGGATGCGGGGGTTTATGATATCGTTTTTTGCATCTCTTGTGTGACTGAGGTCGTATGGCACGTTCGTCAAGTGGCATTAGTGAAAACGCGTATTTCTTCGCATTTTGGTACGGTACATTCAATCCTCAGTGTGTGTGTGTGTGTGTGTGTGTCGGAGTTTCTAACGCTTCCTCATGTAGTCGTGCATCCGTCTGGTGTTGGCTTCCTAAATTGGGTATGCCAACAGGCTGAACTGATAGCGACACGTTGGTGCAATCGTGTGTTGTGCCTTCAATACCGGAACTCATGACTCCCGTATAGTTGCTGAATTCGTGTGTTATGCCCCTTAAGGCATCAAAAGAAGACTTGCGAAACAATCTCTTTGTGAGAACATTTTACCAATCATTAACTTTCGTGCGAATGGTTGTGCAAACACAAAAGGCTGCCTGAAGCTGGGGAGGTGATTGGTTGGATCACAGTTTAACGAATGGACGGTGGAATTAGTCGATAGGTGAATCAATCCAATCGGGGGATGAACGTCGCGCGCGTGCACACGCACTAAACCACTCACATGGCTTGAATGCATTGATTTTTTATTACTGCAACCAGCTTACAAGTAACTAAGACCTGCTAACAATTCTAAAACGCATCTGCCATCTTTTCACCCTGTCGGAGCTCGTCATTTTTTCGTATTTTCTAGGTTCTCTTTTGGGGTTCGTATCCATTGTCTCTAGCGGCTTGCACCACTTACGAGCAGTTTATATGACTAGTCCAGGTGGTTCGATAGCCGGCTATCATTTATGGAAATCTAATTGTGGTATAGCCTGATCCATACTTCACTGCCATGCGGGTTACTGCCCGTGCACTGGATAGTGGATGGCCATCCGTTTTTAGGACTTCCGTTTCCAGTACAACTTTAAGTCCTTTTGAGCTTAGTATTTGTTTTAGAGCTATCAAACAACTCATTTCAAACCCGTCTGCTCATTAGTAGGCGATATTGATTTGGACAGTGTGGCAACAACTCACATTCAGCCGTGGTCACTATTAGATACGGACGAGGTCCATTGTTACGGCGGAGGCAAGGTGAGAGCTTGTGCTACTAGTCGGAAATATTGGTCTTGCAGCACCTGTGCCACTCCAATGCGCGTCTGAAGGAAATCCGACGGGTTCTCTCTAAACTCAAACCGTCCAATCGACACCTTGAGTTTGGCAGCCCGCCTCCATACGATTGCACATGCGCTCTGCGTCACACTTCTCACTCTTCCCTTTAGTGTGCCCGCATGTGAGATGCAGACTCGACCCCAAATTGCACCGCTTGGTGGCCAGTCTAAGAATGAGACGTAGCCGACCACATAATTCAAAGCACACGAGAAGCTTACTCGGCTACGAATGCGGACGGACAAGCAAACTACCAACTGAAGCGATCGATAGTATTGGCTCGCCAGCCGTTTCCTTGTCGTGCTATCGTTCAGCAGCCTGGCGATGGGTACGATGGTCCCGTACTGAGCCATTGTGGCAGTTCGTATTGCACAGCGCATGAGCTGTGGCGGAATTAGCACCTCATGCATGCGCGGTTGGACTAACTTGCACGCCATAGGATAGACGACGCGCACTCAGCCTGTTGCTCTCTAGGGGTGGACAAGGAAAAGTACGCTAGGCTACGGTTGGCTAACCTTACGCGGTATAGGTTAAACAACGAGCAGTCAGGCTATGATTAGGCAAATAGTGCAAGTTTTACCTGTTGGTTCTCGGGTCGGTGGAGCACGAGCATGTACTATCGTCACCGTCTTATGTCCAATCCGAATCACGTAACATACCTGTTAATCAGCGAGTGATTATTCTTCGTCTGTATGGTGAGTGCAGGTCAAACGATGGAGGAACTGCTCGTCAGTACAACAATATCCATGGAGCCATGCGGTCCATCAACGGGCGGTATGGGCTAATACAGTTGAAAAAGTGTGGAGAAAACCGGGAGCGTGTGCGACGCCAAAAATACCGGGCACTTTTCGCATCAACACGGATGACTTTTCGCCTTGCGTGGGTATCTGTGGGGATCCAAAAAGAGCGATCTGGGCATTCGTAGCCAAGTCCAGCATGGCAACGCCACTCGATATGATGCGCACAGGATTTTAAAGGGAAGGAAATTCCTTAGGTATAGTGCGGTTCAAGTGCAAGTATTGAACCCAGGGAATTCGGAGGTGACATGATTTTTGCCGTTGGTTTTTAAATACCATGGACATCCATTCCTTTTTTGTACCGATGAGGCTGTTTTCAGTTTGCCTGGAGCAGAGAACCAGCATTTTGGGGCAACGTATAACCCATGCTGATACAGCGCTGCACGTATGCAACGTGGCGAAAGTTAATGGTATGGGCAGGATTATCGAGTCAAAAAATCGTGGGACTATTTATATTTTCCAGTTACCGGACCAGTGGTTCGATGTTTCTCGGTACTAATGCTTTACATTTCTAATATCTTCGTACAAGGAATCGTTGCAGCATTGTGTCATTCCGCAACTGGACCTGCAGGACTATTGTGTACCGATTGGTGGCAACAGGATGGCGCAACTGCACGCTGTGCACAAACGGTTCGTGATTATCTCAACAAGACATTCCCTTGTCGATGGATCGGTCGGGTAGGAGCAGTGGAATGGCCTGATCAATCACCAGATTTGAACCCGTTGAATTTCTTCCTCTTTGGTTACTTGAAACGATGAGTTTACAAAACTAACCTCGACTCTCTTGAGGAACTGAAACGGAATATTTTGAACGAAAGTCGCGGGATCACAGTGGAGACTGCGAAAAGTGCTAGACAACACCATCAGACGAATATTGCACTGTATACATAACGCCGGCGCGCACTTTGAACATCTACTCCGTTGACATGACCATTAAACTGATTTTCTGTAAATGTGTGTATCTTCCAATGATTTAACGACTAAATTGGTGGGCTTGCAACTGGTGCCAATAGTTTGGCGAGGCGGACTGAATGGTAAGAGCGTTGCCTATAGAGAAAAAACGCGAGCAATTGCTACTCGATCATCGCATATTTATTGCACAGATACACGTTTGTCTGTCTACGTTAGGGATGTCCAGAGTCCGGCCCGCGGGCCAAATGCGGCCTGCGTTAACATTTCAGCTTTCCCGTGGTTTCATCATGAAATAATAAACTCAGGCTTGAATTTTCACGTACATTAGAATTTTGGTTGATATCTTCTTTTCGAATGGAATATGACCCGATATATGTTACTTCATGAAGTGTGGCCCTCTTTGCAAATGGTTTGGACACACCTAGTCTACAATAATGAGAGCTATGTTCCTAGCAGGCATTGCTAGTTCAGCCTATCGCGTGCGTTTTCTTGCCAATTCTTAAAGAGCAACAGGCTGAGTGCGCGTCGTCTATCCTATGGCGTGCAAGTTAGGCCAACCGCGCATGCATGCGGTGCTAATTCCGCCACAGCTCATGCGCTGTGCAATACGAGCTGCCAGAATGGCTCAGTACGGGACCATCGTACCCATCGCCAGACTGCTGAACGATAGCACGACATGGAAACGGCTGACGAACCAATACTACCAATCGCTTCAGTTGGTAGTTTACCTGTTCGTCCGCATTAGTAGCCGAGTAAACATCTCGTGTGCTTTGGATCATGTGGTCGGCTACGTCTCATTCTTAGACTGGCCACCAAGCGGTGCAATTTGGGGTCGAGTCTGCATCTCACATGCGGGCACACTAAAGGGAAGAGTGAGAAGTGTGACGCAGAGCGCATGTGCAATCGTATGGAGGCGGGCTGCCAAACACAAGGTGTCGATTGGACGGTTTGAGTTTAGAGAGAACCCGTCGGATGTCCTTCAGACCCTCATTGGTGTGACGCGGAAGGTGCTGCTAGCAATATTTTCGGACTAACGGTACAAATTTTCTCTGCTTTAACAACTCCGGTAGCATCAGTCAGATTGACGTTGTGTTCGCAGTGGCCATTGATCGACTTCCGAGTCATTTGAAGTTGCGCTTCAATACGGTATAGACTGCTTTGAATTCGCCCTCCCTCCGAACCTGACACCCAGTACTAATCCGGTGTTCATAGATTTGTCTTTGGACATTTCTAACGTTGCCATGTTGTAAAGTACAGCTCTGTCTTCTCCTATCCTTCTATAAAGGCGCGTGGTCGCGTGTCCGAGCTACCTAGCAATACAGATGCGAATGAACGGATAGGGAACAAAGGAATCGGTGCGTGGCGGGATTTTGTGTTTAAGGCGTTCGGTGATGAGCGGAACTGCCTCGGCAAGCATATGGACTCCAGCACTCGGATATGTGTGGTTCACAACGACCGACAGACTTTTTTCCAGTAACTCGTAGTTGTTGTCACCCTTGAGGTGAACATAAGGGAAGACGTCCTTCTTCCTTTCGGTTGGCACTGCGTTTGGGTGATCTAAAACGGCAAG